CAGGCTTCCTATGGATTTGGGGGAACACAAACATTCAGACCATAGCAGCCTCCAGCACAGTTGACCTCATCACAATGCCTTCCTTCCTGGTATGCTTTTTGGTAACTTCTTATTTGAGTGTCAATGAGAATTCTTGGATTATGAGAGTCTCCCCCTTTCGTCCCAGGTCCCAGGCCTGTGTGGGAGGCACCTGGACCCTCAGTGCTGCTCCTGGCACCTCTGAACACAACCTAGCTTTGCGGCAGCAGTGATTCCTCACCTCGGCCCGTGCCCCGGAAGCAGCTACCCTTTAAGGCAGGGCCAACACGCGTTCCTGTGAAGGGCCAGGCAGTGAATACTTCTGGCTCTGCGGGCCCGAGGTCCCACACGCCCTGGAGCAAGCATGACGGCTGAGGACATGCAGGGCGTGCTTCCCAGACCTGCCCCGAGGGTCTCAGCGCCCACGCTGGGCGCAAGCCGTGAGCGCTTACTACATTTTTTCAGTCGACGCACCATGTGGGCATACCCTGCCACCGAGGGCAAGTGGGTGCACCTCCCACTCAGATGCTTTTCCGCGAGGATCCCCAGATGCTTCGGAACTGCTTTTGGCGGGCATCTGTCTGGGTGGGTCAGGTGTGTGTCTGGCCTCGCCCTCTGCATTTGCTCAGCTCCTTCCGGCCAGGTGCTTCCTTCCTCCCGGCTCCTAACGGGCCTCCTGGTCACGCCGCTCTCCGGCCTGGGAGGCGGAGTGGAGGCAGGGCTGAGCTGGCCCCGACACATGTGAAAACCAGAGCAGAGGCGGGGCGGGGCGGGAGCGGGGGTGCGGGCTGCATGGGGGGCTGCAGGCGGGGAGGTGGCCCGTCTGCACCGGCGCACAGGTGCACGGCGAGCTCGGCTGCAAGGTCTCTCCCGTGCCAGCTCGTCTTTAACACCAGCTTTCCCGTGCAGTTATAGCTAGTTGAGTATCAAGCGTTTCTGAAGAACCCCCTGGAGGAATGTTTTTCCTCTGTGCAAACAGTCCTTTTGTGCGGAGGGTGTTCTGTGGCTTCTTGGCAGAGACGCAGGTGGGAAACACCTGATTGAACATCACTCAGTCAGGAGTGCAAAGACACGCACCGCACGTCAGCACAAAGCCCGCTGCCGAGCCGGCACGGCGAGGGATCCCGGCTGCTGCCCCCGCAGGCCCTTCCCGGGTCACCCTCGGCACCCGGCTCCCGGGTCACCCGCCGCCGCACACGGGCTGGTCTGCCTGTCTCCAGGACACACAGTTTTCTGACATGAGCCCATCCGTGACACTGGGGAAGCACAGGGAAAGGAGGTGAATGCTGAAGGCCTCAGGCTGTGTCCCTGGTCACTGCCTGCTTTGCCATCAGCCTGAGAAGAACCCAACCGGCTGTAGGATGTCGGTGAGGGCCGTGGGATGCCGGTGAGGGCCGCGGGGTGCCGGTGAGGGCCGCGGGGTGCCGGTGAGGGCCACGGGATGCCAGTGAGGGCTGCGGGATGCCGGTGAGGGCAGCGGGATGCCGGTGAGGGCCGCGGGATGCCGGTGAGGGCCGCGGGATGCCGGTGAGGGCCGCGGGGTGCCGGTGAGGGCAGTGGGGTGCCGGTGAGGGCCATGGGATGCCGATGAGGGCCGTGGGATGCCGGTGAGGGCCGTGGGATGCCGGTGAGGGCCGTGGGGTGCCGGTGAGGGCCGCGGGATGCCGGTGAGGGCAGTGGGGTGCCGGTGAGGGCCGCGGGGTGCCGGTGAGGGCCGCGGGATGCCGGTGAGGGCCGCGGGGTGCCGGTGAGGGCCGCGGGGTGCCGGTGAGGGCCGCGGGATGCCGGTAAGGGCTGTGGGATGCCGGTGAGGGCCGCAGGATGCCGGTGAGGGCTGTGGGGTGCCGGTGAGGGCCGCGGTATGCCGGTGAGGGCCGCGGTATGCCGGTGAGGGCCGTGGGGTGCCGGTGAGGGCCGCGGGATGCCGGTGAGGACCGTGGGATGCCAGTGAGGGCTGTGCAGAGGAGGAGCCCCAAGGACCACCTGGAGGCCCCGCTGCTGCGGACACCGATGTGTCTAGTAAGCTGGTGTCACTCTGTTCTAGGCAGCTCAGCTGAGTCAACAGGATTCTCAGCCATCCGTGAAGCCTCGGGGGCCGAGGAACCTGCGCCCTCACCCACCCGGACCCGGCGCAGGCCCCGCTCTGCACGGAGGAGGCCGCGGCAGGTGGGGAGCTGGCAGGGGCTGTCACGGCCTGGCTTGGTCCCCGTACACTGAGCTTGGCCACAAGATGTCCCCGGGACACTGCTCACCAGCCGCCTGGGACGCTCTGGGCCTCTGCTCGTGTCTTCAGCACCAAGGCGAGGGCCAGGGACGCACACGGGTCTGCGTCACCAGCACCCGCTCTTCCCGGTCCCTGGGCGTGGGGCGCTGGCAGTCCACACGCACCCCCGGCGCTGGAGGCACCATGCGCTGACCTGTAGTCCGTCCTGGTCTGTGTCACACCTCCATGGTATCTCTGTAAATACAGTGACCCCGACACAGGGCAGCGTCATGGAGATTCTTGGGGAGCTGGCGACATGGACTTCACAGGGGCGGGGCAGTCCCTCTGCCGGGACCAGTTTCACGGCCTCCTCCTGAGCACCCGGCGCCTCGGAGCCCAAGCTGAGGCGGGAAGACCACAGGGTGCCCAGCACAGCAGTGGGTTCAAGCGGGGCCGTGGAGGGCGCAGAATAATGACGAGGTGCCCCTCCCTGCAGGTGCCCCTCCCCAGCTCCTCTGGCCCCAGTTCCCTGGCTTTGCCTCCACGAGGCCGGTGGGTTTGGAGCCTCATCTGACAGGTCTTTGCTCTTTGGCAGCAGCCATGGTGGCCAGCGCCTCTGGAAACGGCGTGGCAGCTTTGCTGGGGGTCAGGGAGGTGTGCGAGGCTCGTGGGCAGGGCCAGCAGGAGGTTCATGCTGAAACGGACACACAACCTGGCTCCCCGCTGCTGCGGATGGGGCGGAGGATGGATGTTCTGAAGTGGCTCACCCCAGCGCTGGGCCTCCTGCGGGAGCCGCGGCCAGGCCGTGGCTTGGTGAGGTCACCTCCGTCGCCCCTGACCTGGCAGCTCCCTGGAGGAGCCCGCAGGGCATGGCTCACCCGGCAGTTTCCCTCCCGTCTCATGGGGCTCATGTTGCAGCCCAAATAGCTACTCCTCCCTGACATTCCTGCTGTGGAATCCTCTGGAAGTGTCCCCAGCTTCCCAGTGGCCTGGTTATGGGACACTTGGGGCCTGTGTGGTCCCCCCCCCTAAGGTCATAGCTCAGGACCAGGCCTGCCTTCCGGGACGGTGCTCACCTCCCCTGGGGGAGGCTCAGCTCCTGGGCAGAGGCCCTGGGGGAGGCTGGGCGGAGGGCAGTGGGGTCTTTCCTCAGGGGCCTGGGTCTGACTGAGCGGCCGGGCCCAGGTCCGATTTTGTTTCCTAGAAACGACCCTCTGCTCACATGGACCAAGTCAGACTGTAGCAGGCTGACCTCCATCCTCTTCCAGGGACCACGATCACCAGCCCGTGCCTGCCCCTCTGCGGTCAGATTGCCGACCGGGGCTGCTCCCCCACCAGGCGCCATGACAGCCATGCCCACCTGCCTCTAGCATCTGAGCGCCACCAACAGCCCTGCCTCCCCGGGATCCCCGCATTGAGAGGTCCCTGCTCTGTGGCAGCAGCTCCAGGGGCCCGGGCCTCACTGACGTGGTCCCCACGGTGGTGGGACAGGCCCCCCCCCCCCCCCCGGGCCATCCCGCAGGTCTCCCTGGGTAAGTTGCCTAAACACCCTAATCTCCCTAAGCCCTCAGATCCCCCTCTGCGGACCCCAGGCCGTCTGGCCTTCCAGTCCTACGTATGTGCCTGCCTGTGGGCTGTGTTTCAACGACCCGTGAGACCCCAGGCCTTTCCGATTCCGGCGCTGCGGCCTCAGGCAGATCTGCCGGCGGACCTGCTCCGCGGACTCGCCCGATGCCGCATCTCCCCGCCACCTGGGCCCACACGTGCGCGCCAGACCTCCGCCCGCCTGCCTGCCGAGCGGGGAGGACCAGAGCCGCCTCCTCACCCTGGGCCTGCGGGCCTGAGTCTGGTTATAAGCAGAGAGGGGCGGGCTGAGGGCCCTGAGTGTCCGCAAGGCCCCTGCCTGTGGGGGCCGTTCTAGGTGCTCAGGTGAAGGAGGGCTGACGGCTCAGGGAGGGCAAAGGGGCTCTTCTGGGCAAAGAAGCCGGCAGAACAAAGGGGTCTGAGCCGCCGGCTTCGCCGGGATCTGCCGTACGTTTGGAGGGTCGTACTTCTCCCCTATCAGCGATTCGGCTTTAAGAGATGACGCCCTGACGTGAGGAGGCTGTGGGTGCAACGCCTGATTTGGCTGCTAATTCCCGCTGCCCTGGGTGTGAGGTGCAGGCTAGGACTGTGCCTTGGCTGCGGGGCCTGGCCTGTCACATACGCTGCTGTGCCTCCCGCCCCAAAGCCACCCTTGGTCTCACTCTTCCTCCCACTAATCCTGCGTTTGGGGTCTCTGCCCAGCTGCCTTCGCCACCCCCCTCAGCGCCTTCTTTCTGCCTGGCCTCCTTCGTCGCTTCCTTCTGCTGTCCGGGCCTCAGGCTGAGCTCCCGCTGTCCTTGGGGTGAGGCGCCATGTGGGGTCGGCAGGTCCCAGGGACCACACTCAGTGTCCGGTGTGGATACAGGCTGACCATCAGCCCAGTGGAGGGTCTTGGCCCCGACCCTGTCCGGGGGAAGAGGGGGGGGGTTTGCCTTGGAGAATTCGTACCTCGAGTCTGAAACTTTAATTTTACCGTAAAGCTCCCCGTGGCCTCTTACCCAGGTGATGCGTGCCCGGGTGTCGGCCCAGTTACCCTGAAAACTGCAGAGTCACGGCTGCACAGATGCCCTGTTTTCACAGGAGGAAACAGCCGAGTGCAAACAGCGAGGACTCCACAGACCACGGCCGGAGGAGGAGGAGTGGTGACCTGCTGTCCGCAGGGCCCTGAGCACGGCCTCCTCAGGGAGCGGGCACGTCACGGGGGTGGGTAGAGCGACCAGACGCTGATGCGATGGTCCTTGGACCCCGCGGCCAGCAGGCCGTCCGCGGCGAAGGCCACGCAGTGGACAGCGGCGCTGTGGAAGGCCAGCACGGCCAGCGGCTTCATCGTCCGCCAGTGGAACACGCGCACCCGGTGGTCCCAGCCCGCCGTGGCCAGGAGCTTCCGGTCGGGCCGGATCTTGACGTCGGAGACCCCGGGGTTGGTGAGCTGGTGAGTCCCGCGCGCCTGCAGCATCGAGAGAGGGGCAGAGGGTCGTCAGGGGGCTTCCGAGACCCGACACGGGGGCTCCCGTCGCGAACATCCGCCCACCCCGTCCCGCAGCTGAGCAGGTGGACACGTGGGCTGTTCGCAAACTCGCCCCTTCCTCCCGGGAGCAGGGCCTGAGCCCTGCCCTTAGCCACGCCCTGGGGTTAGGAGGGAGGACTTCGGGACCTTCCCTCAGAGAGTCCCGAGGCCCCACAGAGCTAGGAATTTGGGGGCTCTGAGTTCCTCCCATCAGGCCCTCAGGAAAACCCGCAGCGAGGGGATGGTGGGGCCCCTCCCCACTGCACCCGGTGTCCAGGGGAGCGGCAACATGTCCACTTGACGGCAACAAGAAGCCGGCATTTCCGCCTCCGGAGAAGCCTCACACCCGCCCAAAGCACCAGGAGTCCAACCAACGCAAGTCCATCTTCAGCAAAGCTGAGAGTGAGGGAGACCTCAAAAGCGAGAGGGTTGGAGGCCGCCAAGAGCGGGAATGAGCAGCACATGGGCGAGACGAATGGAGGACAACACTGACCACAGGCTGCAGGGCATGGTGAAGGCATGGGAAAGCCTTCGTTCCCTGCCTGGATCCCAGAAGAAAGTGATGCTGGCACAAAACGAGAAGTTGCACAGGCACATCCGTTTGTGTGGAGCAACCATCAGGGCTGGCATCACTGGCTCTGACACCCCCATACTCCTCAGTGCCAGGCGACCCCTCCCCGACAGGTGCCTCCTGCACCCGGAGCTGCCTGCGGTCACGCTGCTCTGGGTCACACAGGTCTGCGCTGAGCTCTGCAGGGACCTGGTACCTCTGTCTCCCCAACACTAAATGCCAGAGGCACCTGGCACTGAGGAGTCACCATGCCACCCCTCACCAGCACCCCCTTTTCTCATGCTTCAATGGGGCCACAGTGACCTAGATGAGAAGCACTCGTTTCTTCAAAGATTACACAAGGGAAACGAAGGAAAGAAATGCAGAAAATGGAATGGCGACATTCCTTGGAAGCCAATAGAAAATGTCAGCAAGCATTTCAGCCTTAAATTCACAAACAAAACTTCATGAAGCCGTCACCTCTATGAAACAAAAACCCAAAGCAGCACAGGGAGGAGGAGACGCACTGGCAGCGCACAGGAAGAGGGGAAGGAAAATGCAGAGACATGAAGGGGAGTCACAAACAGCAGACGAGACCCGGAGCCTTGTAACAAGACATTGAAGGCAGGAATGGCACAAAGTGAGCAAAATGAAAGGGGACCAAGAGATTAGTCAGCGTTAAGCTATGTCTAGTCCAGTGGTGGGCAAACTGCAGCTCGTGAGCCACATGCAGCTCTTTGGCCCCTTGAGTTTTTTAGCAAAGGCCAGCTTACGAGTGCCCTAATTAAGTGTATAACAATATACCTACCTATTTAGGTTAAGTTTTAAAAATTTGGCTCTCAAAAGGAATTTCAATCGTTGTACTGTTGATATTTGGCTCTGCTGACTAATGAGTTTGCCGACCACTGGTCTAGTCAAATCATTGGACGTGACGGCTAAAAAGCCCCTTGGGTAGTCAGGCAAACAGAGCAAGTCGGTTTAGGAGGGTGAGGGTTAGCTGTCCTCAGAACGATCGGTGCCAGCGGACGGCAGAGTGATGCCTGCAGAGGCTGTGGAGGAGGCAGGGCCCAGGAATTTTATATCCAGCCAAACTGCCGCTCAAATATAAAGACAATAGACAAGCATTTTTGAACATGTAAGAACTCAAAGCTATATGCTCCCATAAGCTCTTCCTGAAGGACTAGCAGATTAACCCCAGTGTCCTAAGAGAACTGGAGAACTGCAGCAAATGCCCTGGCAGAGAACACGGAATCGACTTACCTGTAGGATTAGGTCTAAAACAATACGGGGATTATGGCTATAGAACCGGTTATGTAACTAACAGGAATATGGGAGGGTAGCAAGAGAGAGGGGATGCTAAGTTAAACCGAGTTGCCCATCTTTTGTCATTTGGGGAAAAGATACACTAGTCAACCTCCTGTTTGAGAGATTATCTCATACTCAGTCAATAAAGACAAAGCATTATTTCCTCTGCCCCACCACCCTAGACTTTAGGTACCTTTGTTTCCTAGCATTTGCTCTTACATTTCTCCACAAAGGATTAAAAAACAGATTTATGATTGGAATCCAAAGCTAAATACAAATCTGTGCTACGTATGAGAGAGATGCCAACACGACGATTGGCAAAGATATACCAGGAGACTACAGACAAGAGAAACAGGTGTCCAATCTCATTAAGAAAGGCTGAATTCAGAGCCAAACGCGTTGTGTCAGACTATGGACCGTACTTAACAATGATAAAGGGTACAAGTCATAATAAAGAGCTATGAATATCGATCAACAAATAAACAGTCTTATCTTAAGCAAGAATAATAGGAAAGTGGCTATGAGAGAGTAACTGGTACCAGACCGTCCCCTTGCTGTAAACAACCATCAAGCTGGACAAAATATACTAAGCAACTATGAACAGATACCGGACAACAGGACGGAAGGGCAGCTTCTGTGTGAGGCTGCATGCTCAGGGTTCCACCCCAGGTTTAACCAGACAGTGGCTGCTACAGGGTTAAACATTACAGATACTAGAGACCAGCAGCGACCTCAGGTCCAGCCGGGATGGGAGCGCAGAGACTGCATGACAGCCTAATACTCCCTGAGATGCCACATGGCCTGGCTTCAAGAATGAGGATTACACCTTGGGGCAGGGCCCACTCCAGGCTGACGGTGACGAGGCTGGAAACCAGGCCCTACGAGTTTGGAAGTTGGTCCCACCACATTAAAGGAACCTGGGAATGACTCTGGGCTTCCCACAGGCCTGCCCTAACGAGCACAAAACCAAACCCACACAAGTTCAAGGTGAACAGCCGCTGCCCGCGAGAACAAAACTGAACCCTCTTCAAAGCAAAAGAATAGTATTCGGAGTCTCTATCCCCTATTATTTACAACGTCCGGCAAACAAACAAAACGTTATTAGACATGCAAAGAAGCAGAAATATATTATAATCCATAGGCGAGGGGGAGAAAAAGCAGTTTGTAGAAACTGGCCCAGAATGGCACAGATGTTGAACATATCAGACAGAGATTTTAAAGCAACTATTTAAATATGTTTTTAAAGAAAACATGAAAGGAAATGCATTAAATAATTACTGTCTTGGTGAGTGAAGAGATAAGAACTATTACCAGAGAAATTAAAGTTATATATACGTATCTAAAAAAAAAACAAAAACAAAAAAAAACACCCAAAATAGCCAGCACAGTGTTAAAGGAGAAAATAAAGTTGGAAAACTGATGCTCCCTGACCCTCAGAGCTCAGCAGCACCAGCCTCTGACCCGATGCACATTTCAGATGAGTCTGTCATGGCACCAAGTTTCCACCCAAGGGAAGGGTCAGGCCAGAGTGAAGAAGTGACCCAATGCTCATCAGGTTTGTTTAAAGAGAGCCTCCAGCCCTGGCTGGTTTGACTCAGTGGATAGAGCATCGGCCTGCGGAATGAGGGGTCCCGGGTTCGATTCCAGTCATGGACACATGCCAGGGTGGTGGGCTTGATCCCCAAGAGTGGGTGTGCAGGAGGCAACCAATCGATGATTCTTTCTCATCATTGATGTTTCTATCTCTCTCTCTTCCTTTCTGAAATCAATAAAAATATATTTAGCCGAAACCAGTTTGTCTCAATGGATAGAGCGTCAGTCTGCGACTGAAAGGTCCCGGGTTCAATTCCGGTCAAGGGCATGTACTTTGGTTGCGGGCACATCCCCAGTGGGGGGGGGGGGTGTGTGCAAGAAGCAGCTGATCGATGATTCTCTCTCATCGATGTTTCTAACTCTCTATCCCTCTCTCTTCCTATCTGCAAAAAAAAATCAATAAAATATATTTTAAAAATGTATTTAAGAAAGTAAAAATAAATAAACAAATACAAGAGCCTCCGCTGACTCCATCGTGAAGGATGGGGGTTAGGAGTGGGAATGGCACAGGGGTGTCAAATGTGCCTGGGGTAACAGGGGAGCCTTATTTAAAGAGCAAATATTCACCAGGACCCAACCACGTTTCCAAATGATCATAAATTATTTTATCAGTGCATTTGCAAAGGTTTATAAAAACATCCATAATATGTTTTTCCCTTAGATTCTAGAGTTACCAATGTGACAGCTAATGCAATAATGATTTGTTTCAAATGTCAGTGTTTAAGCTGCATAAAGCTGATTTTATTCACTTTTCTGGTTGGCTGCACTCTTGTTAATGAAATTAACACACCCATCACATTTGTCCCCAGGGGACAAGGATCTGATTTATTTTTCTATTAAAATCAGTTGCAGACAACCACGTTTGGATGGCCCTACATGGGGTTCACCCAGGAGCCAAGGGGCTTCCGGGGCCAGTTCATCAGCACCAGGGCTGGGCGAGCTGACGGCATTCAAGAGATTATGACATCTGCCCAGCCGGGTGTGGCTCAGCGGTTGAACGTGGACCCAGGAACCAGGAGATCACAGGTTCGATTCCCAGTCAGGGCATATGCCCAGGTTTCAAGCTCAATCCCCAGTGGGGTGTGTGCAGGAGGCAGCCAATCAATGATTCTCTCTCATCATTGATGTTTCTATCTCTCTCTCCCTCTCCCTTCCTCTCTGAAATCAATAGTAAAAAATATATTTAAAAAAAAACAAAAACTCTTCCAACTATGTACTTCTGTTGTATGGAAAGCACATCTCAATAAAGTTGATTTTTTTAAAAAGGGAGAGATTATGACATCTGAAACTTACAATGTTAAAAAATGAAACTTTTTTTAAAAATATATTTTTATTGATTTTTTACAGAGAGGAAGGGAGAGAGATAGAGAGCTAGAAACGTCGATGAGAGAGAAACACCGACCAGCTGCCTCTTGTATACTCCCTACCGGGGATGTGCCCGCAACCAACGTACATGCCTATGACCGGAATCGTACCTGGGACCTTTCAGTCC